GCACTACATGTCTTCTTCTCCCTTTGTGGATCAGAGTTGTTTCGCCTACAAAGCGAGTGACCGTCCGACAGCCAAACAGGTGACGCAAATAGCATCAGAGACGGCAAATAGAGGAGGCGCACCACGTCACAGGTTCTCGATGAAGTGGGGATCTCGCATCCGGGCGCAGGTCAACCGGGCAAGGCCGCTGCTGAGCCATCACTGAGGGCCCTCTGGGGTGGCTGTTTGGAGGCTTCACACAACAAGGTACATCTATCATCTTCAGTAGCACACAAATAGTGGTACGCCGTCGTGATTGTGTCTTCTCCTGACTATAGGCGCCGCTTCGCCCGCTAATGTGTCTCCCGTCGGCCGTTCATCGGGTGTCCACATGAGCATGGCCAGCACCACGACAGGGCCGCCGAGCAGTGTGGCGAAGACCTCTCAACCGCCCTCACAGTACATAGGTCGGCGGAACACGTACACACAGAGGGAGCCACACCCTTCGATGCTCTGTGTGTGTCATACAGCGCCCCCCGCTCAGCAGCCGTCAGTAAAGACACCGCCGAGCGCCCCACAGCCGCAGATCAAACACGTAAGGGGGACAGCAACTGAACCCCACAACAAGTCAGTGGGCCGCCATTCTTTTGCTGGTCGTGTGCAGTCTGACATCTTCAAGGCTGCCGAGGACCCTAGGGAAAACCCCTCCCTTCCCTCCCCTTTCCTCCTCCACCAACGAGCTTCGCCTGCGCCGCCAGCTACACATCCATCCATGGCGGAATCTACTGCAGAGTTCCGTAGAATTGACTTCGAGAAACTGAATTTGAAAGAGAAAGAGGACGCTCTCGGTGAGAAAGGACACATCATTGATTCCATGGCCGTTTGTGAGTCTGTTCTTGTATGCACATGTGCAGGTGCAGGCTCATCGGGTATTGTGCGAGCAGGAGAGTACAACGGCCACCCTGTGGCAATCAAGTACCCATCCCCCCAGATTCTTATGCATTACAAAAACAAACTATACGTAAGAAGACCACAAGATGATCGCCAGACAACGTTGCGAGCGCTGCCTTCATTACCGCCTTCTGTGCTGCCTGCAGGAGCTCTATGATGAGGTGATGAAGGAGGTCTCTGCCATGGTCGGGGCGGATCACTCGAATCTCGCCAAGGTCTATGGCGTGTGTTTGGCCAAGGGCGACGCGGCAAAGAAGTATGGCGTCATGATCGTCATGGAGCTGTGCAGCGGTGGTTCATTGAGGACCTTCCTTGAAAAGATGCAGCCGACGCCAGAGATGCCACTGCCCGAAAGCCAACGCAACCAGCTTATCAGACACGTCAGAAAAGAGAAAGGCTTCATACGTTTTCATACATCGCTGCATCGCTGTATGTTGTCCAGATATGCAAGGCCGTTAATTACTTGCACACCGTCAAGGGAATAGTATGTCTAGTATATACTTTTCCTGCCTACACCTCCATTTTATTCCCTTCTTTCAGATTCATCGCGATCTCAAGCCCGAGAATGTTCTGTTGTCTGAAATGCATGATGCCAAGGTAAATGAAGAGAAGTTACGCAGTGCTGCCTTCTTCGATGATGGCTTATCAGGTGACTGATTTTGGTCGGGCGCGTCAACAAGGTAAGCGGAAGACATTTGTCTCTCTTTCTCCTGTTCTTGAAGCTCAAGACGAAGATTCGCTATTCGCTTTCCCAGAGAGTCTGGGGACGGAGTATTATACGGCGCCGGAGGCATTTCGACAGCGGACAGAGGCAGGCGATATTTCATATGAGTCGGACATCTGGTCCCTCGGTAAGCTGCCTTCTGTCGCGACCATGCACCTTCTTTGTCATGACGCTATGGACACATACAGGAGGGATAATTTCGGAGATTCTAGGCGGTCCTATGCCTTTCCAAGAGTATTCGAAGTTCCAGATACATGACTTGGTCGAAAGGCAGAAGAAGGTCGGTGAAACTATCAGAATCTCACACACACTATCAGAATTCACATAAAAGTCTCTGTTCAGAAGCCGTTTGTTCCTGATTTTCCCTTTGCCCCGCATGCGAAAGCGGTCATTGAGGTGAGAATTTCCCTTCTGGACTGCATCTTTGTGAGTTTTTTTATGTGTGGTCTCAGAAATGCTTCGAATACAATCTCAAGAAGCGTCCGTCGGCTTTGGAGGTAAACGATTTTCACCTCTTTTCTGCAGTTCGACCTGCGAATTCTCTTTGTGTGCAATGAGGTCAGATTCTCGATCTGCTCAAGATTCCGTATGAAATAGGTAACGGAGACACATGAACACGCACGCACACACACACACACACACAGATAGAGACACACCATCCGATGCTCTGTCGGTGTCGTTTAGTGTCACCCGCCCAGGAGCCGTCAATAAAGACACCGCCGAGCTCCCCACAGCCGCAGATCAAATACGTAAGGTAGATAGCAACTGAATCCCACACGTCAATGGGCCGCTGTCATTGTGCTGGTTGTGTGGCAGACTGACATCTTCGATGCCGTCAAGGATGGCAATGAGCAGTCGGCGAAGATGCTCATCGAAAAGGAGGGAAAGGACATACTTGACAAACGAGACGACTCATCCTTCAAGGTATTCAATTGTGAAGACGACAGGAATGCCCTCAGTGGTCTCTGTCTGTGTCTTCTCATTCCTGCAGTACACACCCTTCCATCGGGCTGCACTGAAGGGTCACGTGGGTATCATGTTGGTTATGTATGAGAGCAAACCTGACGTACTGCAGCAAACAGACGAGGTATTGACACAGACAAACCATCTGGTGGGCTCATGGTGATAAGGAGACGTGTGTTGGCTGTGATGGAATGCAGGATGGTTCGAATGCTCTTCACTGGGCTGCCGAGTTTGGCCATTTTGCGGTCGTCAATAAGTTGATGGAGTGGGATTCCAAACTGATCGATGCACGCACCAAGGTAACAGAGCACACATGTCTCTGCCGCCTCAGTGTGTCAATTGTGTTGTATGTGTGGTGATTGCAGTATGGCATGACGCCATTCATGCATGCTGCCCAGCATGGTTATGTCGATGTGATGAAGGCAGTGTACGCCAAAGGAGGGGAAAATCTGCTGACACAGAAGAACAACGTGAGACAATACAGTCTTCTCTCACTGATTGATTGCCTTCTCTTTGTGTGCATGACACACACAGTTCCGCTGGACGGCACTCCATGGGGCTGCATTCTATGGCCACTCTGCTGCTGTGTCTCAGCTGTGAGCGACACAGATGACTGACTGACGCGAACATCTCATCCACACTCTCTCTCTCTCTGTGTCTAAAGGCTCGAATGGGGCGGCGGTGCGCTGCTGGACATCAAAAACAATAAGGTGAGTGCACACAGAGATTCACACCATCGATGGGCTGAGTGGTGTGCTCATCTCATCCCAACACAATAGGGGGAGACGCCGTGGGATTTGGTGGAGAACAAGCCGGACATCAGAGAGATCATGGAGAAGTACAATCCTGCTTGTGGGCCTTGCTGTGTGATCATGTGAGTCAGAGTCTGTCAGTCGCTCGGGTGTGCATCGAATAAGAAGGTAGGAGGCGTTGTGAGTGTGTGATCTGACAGTGAGACCCGATTGATCATGTGTCGTCGTAAATGACACGGCGAATACGAATTGCAGCCCTCAGTTTCTTTCTTGTGTCTTCATCTGGACCATTGCGAGGCCCTGGGGCTGTGAGGTTTTGTGTGCTTCATGACTTGATTGGAAATGTCCATAACACGTGAGCATGCAGCCCTCAGTTTCTTTCTCCATTCGGACTGCTTTGCTGGCTGGTCAGCTGCTCACGGAGGCTGCGATTCTCCTCTTGCAGAGCGCCGAATGTCTGCATCAGTGACAGAAGGAGACACACACTCACGCCGATTAGCAGCCCTTGTCGTTGACACACACACACCTGTTGGTTGACAGTCTGTCTGGCCCTCTCCTTGTCGAGGCAGCTCTAGAGCGGCCGATTCTCCAACGCAGCCGCCTGCAACTCACGCTGGATACGCAATACCGCCTGACAACCACACACACACAGACAAACCCACCCGATTCATGCATATCTGGCCCTTAGTCTTCGATGGTCTTACCTCCTGCTGTTTGGGATGCCTTCTTGTCGCCAGGCGGCCCCTCTGTCTTCTTCTTCTCCTTGACACAGGGCATGAGGGCGATCGGCGCATGCACGCCAGTGGCACGTCAGAGCCTCAGGCCGCCCTGCCAGATGAGACGTGCTGGCGAGAAGGGGGGCGGCGACCAGGCAACGCACTGCCATGAGACATGCACAGCAAACGGGGTTGTTGGTTTGCTCATCAACAAGGAGGGAAAGGACATACTCGACAAACGAGAAGACTCATCCTTCAAGGTATTCAATTGTGAAGACGACAGGAACGCACACAGTGGTCTGTCTGCTCTCTTTTAAGTACACACCCTTCCATCGGGCTGCACTGAAGGGTCACGTGGGTATCATGTCTGTTATGTATGAGAGCAAACCTGACGTACTGCAGCAAACAGACAAGGTGCCAACACAGACAGACCATCTTGTCTGCTCCTGGTGGTGAGGAGATGTGTGTTGGGCGTGATGCGATCCAGTCTGCACTGGGCTGCCTACATGGGCCGTGTTGCGGTGGTCGATAAGTTGGATCCCAAACTGGTCGACGCACGCAACGATGTAACAGAGCACACAAATGTCTGGCGCCTCAGTGTGTCGATTGTGTTGTATGTGTGGTGATTGCAGATTCTCCGTACGCCGTTCACGGGGGCTGCCAACTGCGGCCATGTCGACGTGCTGAAGGCACTGTATGCCAACCGAAAGGACCTTGTCACACAGACCGATAAGGTAAGAGACACACCCTAGCGCACAGAGTGCCCCGCGTCTGATTGATTGCCTTTCCTTTGTGTGCATGACACACACAGGACGGTTCGACGGCACTCCATAGGGCTGCATTCTGGGGCCACTCTGCTGCTGTGTCTCAGCTGTGAGCGACACATATGACTGACTGACGCGAATGACTCATCCACTTTCTCTCTGTGTATGTCATTCTGAAAGGCTCGAGTGGGGCGGCGGTGCTCTGCTCGACATCAAGAACAACAAGGTGAGTACACCCAGACGTTCCCACCATCGATGAGTCGAGTGGTGTGCTCATCTCATCTCATGACAACAGGGGGAAACGCCCTGGGACAGGGCAGAGGGGAAGCCGGAGATCAGAAAGATCATGCAGAAGTACAAGCGATAGGTTTTCTGGTCTGGTGTGTGTGTGAAGTGTGTGAGGCCTTGTGTCTGTCCAGTCTGTGTGTGTGTTGGGGGGGGGGGGGGGGGGGGGGG